TATCTATCTATCTATCTATCTATCTATCTATCTATCTATCTATCTATCTATCTATCTATCTATCTATCTATCTATCTATCTATCTATCTATCTATGTGAGCTGGCGTGCTCGAGCTGCTGGCATTTCATTAAGCTGCACATTCTACAAGAAGAAACACATTTACATCTGAACTATTTTAAGACGGGAAGGGATTCTATTCATGGGAAAAATAATTCAATGAATAATGTTTACACACTGAGATGAGTTTCCAGGGTTAAATCAGTGACTACAGAGGGGGTTTTAGCGACATGCATTTGCTGGTACAAGTTTCTGAACTACGAGGACTTGTTGTCCTCGTGTCTTGTTTGTGTTTTGGTGTGCAGCCAAGGAAATAACACAACCCATGCTGCACTATGACAGCCAGCTAATTCTGGGCTGACTCACTGTTCTGCACTGTATACGAACCAGTCTGTCATTCCTCACATCCTTCCACTCACCGTACATAATGAAGGTTTAATTTAGAAAGCTCATGACACTGTTACACCTTCAGAGATATGTAAACATGTTTACTGGCATGAAAATAAAATCCACGTTGGCCAAAACAAAACATAATTCCTCTCCTATCCTCGGTCTGCATTCATTCATGCATCACTTACACAAACAAGACTTTGACCAAAAGGAGAATAAACGTTTTACATCAGCTCAGTTAACACAGGAAAAACGTAAACAGCAGTTCCTGACAATGAACGGATCAAAAAATAAAATGCTTGAGGGCATTTCTTTTCTATTTATTGGGGACATACTTACAGAGGGTGGTGCTTAAGATTCATGTCTGCATCAACAACTATTTGTAATTGGCCTGAGATGATTCAAGCAGTTTTATTTTTATTTATATACCTGTAGTGAGACTCTTATGGGTCTCCACTAATAACAGGGGTATTGGTGCCATTACTAGCCCCGGGCACAGAGGGGATCCTCTACCCGGCCTCTAACAATAGGAATTCCATTACAAACAGGTTTCACTAGACCAATGATATACTTCTGCTTCCTGTTGTCAAGTCCTCTCTCAGTGATTCCATAGATTCCTCCCAGCAGGCTCTGTAGGTTTATAATGACTTATGATGGGTTAGTTACACAACCCAGAAGAACAGTGGTTTTGGGATAAGCCCGTCTGCGTTGATTGGCCTATAGAATGTCATGCCAAATACTTTCTTTGGAGCTCCGTGATACTTCAGTGTCAGCCCTCTAGAAATTTCTGATAAAAGACCTAGCTCCTGTCTACATGACTCCATGCTGACGTTATGCCACAAAAAAGCACCTTTAAAAGCCCAGACAGCCATTTTGTTTGGCTAATAGGGCTAATAACACAAACACATTCACTGCTGGTTAACATGCGACTCTGAGTCATATGATCGATCAAGTCTTTTAACGTCACCATCCAGTGAATAAATCTATCCAAGCATACAGTGCGACCTTTTGTTCTTGAAAGAGTGACCTGAAATGCATGTTAAAATAAATAAATCTTGATTAAACAGACTAAAAATAAACAATTGGGGCGGAAGCGATTATTCATTTTCTGAAATAAAAAAGTTTGAGCTTGGATTGAAGCCCCTGACACAACATGGTTTTTGTGTTCAAACCACTTTGTGTTGCATGTTGTTAATGAACGGTGCCATAGAAACCTTAATAGTTTGACTTAAACAGAGATCAAAGACTGGCACAAATACGCCCGGATTAAACAAACTTGTATTTCTAAGTGACATGTCCTGTTTCTATGAACTTTGCAAATATAAAAAATAGGTGTGCAACGTAACTGAAAATGACAAAGTTCTTAAACAACAACAACAACAACAACAAACAGGCATTTTAAAGCCATTTTACAGCACAGCAATCTGCACAAAACACTAAAGGAATCATTTTATCAGCACTTACAATGTACAAATGGCCACCGTCAAACTATCGGACCAGGTTCATTTAACATGTGATGACACTATATTTAACATCAAAGTTTGTAAGGAGGAGGTTTTCCCCCCAAAAAACTAGGCAAATAGGGCAGGATGAAACTAAATCAGGATTCATCAGTCCCCTTCCTTGACAAATGGCTCACCTCCAATACATGCCACCAGCCCTTCTTTGAAGTCCACCTCCAGTGACCTCTTCAACCCATCCTAATTTCTATAGTTAATCTCAGCAGGTTCAAAGAAGCAGCAAGATGTTTTTGCCAAGCCTTGTAATATGAACCTGGCGTACAGGGAACCAAAAAATCA